CTGTTCAGAGGGGACCCTGCCCCCCAAGGTGAGAACAGTGAAAGACATGTAGAAATAAAAGTTCTCTGTAGTCAGAAGTGGAAAGCAGCCCAGAGGCTTTAATTGTCTTACTTCTCATATGTTAATGTGTAAAGCATCCTGAGAGACTGTGAATGAGTAAATACATCCTACCACGGCACAAAGACAACTTACATTCCTAGAAATTATTAGTCAGTACCACTTGGTATTATTTCTGCATCTCTATCTGTGCTACAATTGTTTTTCCACCCTCTGCTGTCTAGCTCTCAGAGCAATAACTTTCTCCCCAGTTCTGTAACCAGCCTGATGCTGATTGCTATTCATTAACATCCATTTAAATGAGAGGGAGAGAGACCTGTGTTTGTTGTGGAGATTATAAACAGTAATAGATTCTTTCTGGAGACTGTCATTGGCTCCTGGTATTTGCCTGCACTGAGCTTTGGGCTTTTAGTTTCTGATCAGCGGCATTAACATTCAACACTCAAAGAAGTGTTCAGAGCCCCTGTTAGAAAATGTAAGAGCTCTTTTCTCCCTGGATTGGTTTTAGCGCTCATTTTGGGTCTACAGGTGACTCTGCTAAGCTGTGCAAGGTCTGAGTCCTCTCCACACCGTGAATCTCTTTCTAGCTACTGGATATCTCTTGCAATCAGTCAGCTTCTTACCGCAGTCTATCTTGCCTGCACTGGAAATGCCATGGGAATTTCCATGGGAGCTTTCAGCCCTGAGTTCCCAGTTGGGTGCCAAATCTAAACTGGAGCTGCAGCTGGGAATTCTCATCAATAGCTGATCTCCTGAGATTGCCCCATACTGGAGCAAGGATCTTACAGGAGTGTAGCAGGCAGTTGCAGTGAGACCAGGCTGCGTGCCAGCTCCTGGCTGTGGATCCAACAGCCTTCCCTACCCATCCCACGGAGTTCTGCTGCACTTGGCATGGCACCCCATCTCTCAGTTTGTAGTGTCATCCTCCCTTTGCTTCCTGACTGCTCCAGCTGCCTGCCTTTCATATGAGCCATGTAAACTGAGCTGTTCCTTCACTTTTTCCCCACACCATCACCCTGCATTAACTCCCCAAGAGAACTCTTGAGGAAACCTCTACCATCTCTGCCATCCCACACTGACTGTGCTGATGGCCCTGCCCTAGGGGCTCTGCATCCCTCCCACTGCTCCCTGCACCAGCTCTTCTGGAGCTACACCACAATTCTGTGTGACAGTGAAGTCCCCGTCCTGTGGATACTGAGTGAAGACTTTTTTTTGTTGTGAGAAGGTAACATTTAAAGGCATCCCTTGGGTTATTCTATCTGGCAGCACAGCTGGTCTTTTGTGTGAGTGCCAGTCTTTTGAAATGCCAGCTCTGCTCTTCAAGGCAGCCAGCAGAAGGTACAGCTGGCTCTGCCTGTAATTAATTCCTCATCACTCATCACTTGCCTTTATTCTCCCTTTTGACTGGGAAGGAGGAATAATACCGATTACAAGACAAATGCAAAGATTGCCTTGTATGGGAAGAGGTAACAACAGGATTCTTGGTGTCCTGGGATTTCCCTTTTGTTTGTCTTTCTCTGGTCAGCTGGAGAGATATAGCAGCAGATAGATGGTCTAACTTTTTGTGTGCCTCACCAGCAGGTGCTCTTGGAAACTGCCAGGCAGGGGAGATGGGGAAGGGGCAACAAGAAGAGAAATAGGGAACAAAACTGTCCAGCTGGCTTTGGACTCTGATAGAGAAAACCAGGCATAATTGCAGTGTGAAACCAGACAAAAAGGGTGACTGCAGCAACTGGCACTGGAGACCATCCCAGATGGGTCTTTCTCGTCTCCACTGATGAGGAGTTGGAGAGCAGGTCACACTTCAATTCTTCAGTTTTTAGCCACTGAAGATGACTTGGAGATTCCCATAGTCCAAGTATGCAATGTTTTATGGCTCTGCCTAGAATGCAGATCTGGATGTTCATTTATCTGGTATCTCCATCACAGGCTATGTGCCCTTAACTTTACTGGCAACTGGTGGCAGACTGACAGGTGGCAGAAGGGAGTAGAGTAGAAGAGCTGCACAAACTTTAACATCTACAACACTATGGACTCAGTTCAAATGGGATAGAGGTTTCATTACAGTTTCACGTCCAGGAGCCTCTTCCATGCCTCCCAGAAGCATATTCCCAGTGACAGTGTCACTGGCAAATGGAGATATTGTAGTTCCTTCCCAGTCTCAGGAAACCTCTGTAACTTAGCGGGGATTGTAGGTAGGGCTGTGGGAGCTGGCTGCCCTTCACAACTCTGACTGATTTCTAAGATAGCCATGGGATTGCTGCTCCTCTGTTTTGACCTTCAGTTTTCCATGTGTAGACAGTAGCGGAGCACTGCATGTTGTGAGTAGATAAGGGAGATTCCTTTCCAATTGTAAACCATTTGAAGAATGCCTGCTCACATTCAGTATTGTTGTATTAGGGAATTCGGGGGCCAAAAGGTTGTTTTTCCTGATGCTGCAAGGACACAGAGCTGTCAGCCAGGATGTGCTCAGGCTTGGTTTGGGTTTAGGCCAGGCATTCACAGCCAGTGCTTTGGAGGCACTAATTTGCATTCCAGATGCTTCTCTGGGTTTCTTTCTATCTTGCCTTTGCTTTTTTCCTAGGGCATCAAAGTTCGTTTGCTGCGTGATTTGTCCCAGTGCTGACTACTCAGCCAGGCTATTGTGCAGCAAATCCTAGCTACAAGTCCCCAAATGAGGATAGAATAGACAATGGTTGTTTTTAATCCTTGCTTGCTAGCAGCTTCATATTAATTCTTCATTTGCACTCAATCCCTCACCTCACCAGCCCTGGTGTCTGTAATTAGCTGCTCTGAACACACTCCTGTTGACATTGATCTATGGGGTTATGTAGTTCCTGCGTGAGCTGTCAGTTTGGACAAGGGGCTCCATGAGGACTAAGTATCCTTAGAGAGACTTTCCTTCATAGGAAGCTGCTGAGGGCAGGGAAGATGCCAAGAAATCAGCAGCTGGCTTTGCCAGAGATTCCTATAGAGACTCCTTTTCTTATCTGTGGCACTGTGTTTCCAGGAGGGAGGTCTCACTGCCTTGGACCTCCCGAGGTTGTGCAGTGCCAGCTGGTCTCAAGAGAGAGAAAAACAAGTTATTTTTCTCCTTGTCCTGGGTAGTGGTGTGCATCCCAAACTGAGTACCGCCAGGGAAGGGGATTGGACATGCTGTGTCCTGTCAGGCCTTCATCCAGTCTTCTCAGCTTGCCTTACAGCTAGTGCTTCTGAATATTTCCAGACCGCAATGTGGTTTCTATCCTCATTTCACTAAATTATATACATATTTCATTTTTAACCTTTTTTTGTAAGTAATTCACTAAGAATCTAAACATTTAATTATCTTTATCATGATCTGAACTCCCTGCAATGTGTCTCTCAGTTACTGACAGCTTGATGGGAGTATTTCCAGGTCCCTGTCCTTCACACAGTGCCCCTAAGGTGGATGTGCCAGGAATGAAGGATTTGGGGAGATGATGTAGGAGGGAGGTTATACAGGAAAGTCTTGTTTCCCTGTCTCTTCCCCTGACCCTTTTCTGCTGCTTTTCCAAAGGGCATAGCCATGTGGGAAGGCAGCATCCCAGTGCAGATAGACTGCAGATGGATAAGTAAGGGGTTACTATTTCGTCCATACTCTCAGGTGTAATATATCTGTGTATGGAGACCAGAAACCCTGATGAGCAACAGCATGGCTAGAGTTGTGATTGATTGATTTCTTGAGAAAAAAAAGTATTTCAGGTCAACCCTGACTGAATGTTTAACTTTTTTTTTTTTTCACTGAAGCAAAAAAGGAAAATAAGTAATCTGAGGGCATGCTAACAAAATGCTGCAGTAAGACAAACTGAGATGGTTTTGTGTGTGGGTGTAGGGTAGGAAGCTGTGACACTGTTTTCAAAGTGAGAACTGGAAATGCTTTGAGATTTGTTGGCTTTGATTTTGGTTTAATGATAGACAAAACCTTTTGGGAATTGCTTTTTTTGAAAGAAATTTAAGTCGGCATTGATTCGCAGGATCTTTGTGAACCTCTGAAAATGCTGGTCTGGGATGGTACCAGGTGGTGTGGAATACTGTCTGGTGCTTCAAAGAACAGCTGCTCACTCCAAGGCTGCTCCCAGGGCAAGTGGTGAATGAGGACACTGGTCATGTTTCCACAGCTGATGGCCAGGGTCAGAGCAAGGAGAGCCCTGTTAGCTGCATTGCATATTTCAGGTGTCAGTGGTGAGCAAGGGGAGGCAAATATGAGTTCTGGGCTCCCCATTTCAAGTGGAATGTGAAGAAATTGGTGGGGCCCAGCAGAAGGGCATCAGGATTGTCAAGGACCAGGAGCAGACGTCCTTAGGAAAAGTTAAGGGAGCTGGACTTGCTCAGTCTGGCAAAGAGTAGGTTGCTATCAGCCGTTGGCCCCCAACTGTTTCAAGGGCAAATTCAAGGGTAATGGGAACCAAAATCTTTTCATTGTAGTAAATTATATTATAAGGAACAGTGTCCACAACTGGTAGCGCTGGAGGTTCATACTGGACAGTAGGAAAACTTGGTTTCCTCAGGGAAGTTCAAGATTGGCCAGGCAAACCCGTGCTGGTCTCATGTAGAGCAGGAGACAGCTTCAAGCAGGAGGTTGGATGGGATGCCTCTGGAGGTCCTGGGCAGCTGGCATTTCTTCCACCCCCTTCTCATGTCACCCCAGCCATGCTGCACACCGCTTCTTCCTCATCCTGCCCCTGGGATATATTTCCCTAGGAAAGGCCAGGTGAATGAAACATTGCCAGTGACACCCATGAACATGGGAGAAAACTGGCTCCCTTCAGAGATGACAGCTGGGGCTCTGCAGGCTGTCCCTGGGCCAGCTGGGGCTTACAGCCGTGGTTCAAGGCTGAGCCCAGAGCTGTGCCCAGAGCCAGCCCAGCAGGCAGGCTTGGCTGCCTGCCCCAGCATGCCAGAGGCCTGTTTTTCTCTTACAGGCTCCTTGAACCTGCTAGTTCGCGTGCGGAACAAGCGAGCCATCGACACACAGGTCTGGTCTCTCAGTGGGAATCGGGGCAATGTGTGGCAGCAAGCACATGTCCCCATCAACCCGCCTGGGCCCTTCCAGGTAAGCCAAGCACACAGTCAAGGAGCCACCTGCCCTGTCCATGTGCCATGGATGTAGATTTCCTGGCAGACATCTTCCTCTGAGGCACAGGGGCCAGTGGGGCACAAGGGAGGGCACTGAGAGCTCTTGTGAATATGAGCTGGGCACTCTGCATGTGCTCATCGGGTTGTTCATGTGTACCCAGACAGTGAGCTGCTTTCATGGCTGAGGTTTTTACCCAAACAGTGGGCTGAGGTTTTTCCCCTACTTTGCTGTTGTAGGGCTGTTTGTGAGAGCTGCCCTGTTCAGGCTGGTTAAGTTGTGGCACTGTGGCAAAATGCCCAGTGTGCTTTTGGATACTTCAAAATAGTAAATAAGAATGTAGTTACTCTTGCGAGTTCTGTTCAGTATTGGTTGGCTTGTTAGAGCAGGACACGTAATAAAACAGTGCTCTAATGCTCATTTATTACTGCACAGACGCTCAGTTCAAAGAGGTTGGTCCCATAAACAGTGGGATCTGGCTTTCCAGAGCCTATGAATATTGGAGAAACGGGAAGGAAATAATTCTCTTATGGGCCTGATAAGATCTGGTCTGTGTCCTGCTCACCTCTGCAGAGCCCTGCCGAGCAGGAAGGGCCCTCCACACCTGCAGCCTCACGCTGGGCTCTCTCCCATGCTCTGCTTGTAGATCATCTTTGAAGGTGTCCGGGGCACAAGCTACGAGGGGGACATTGCCATCGATGACGTCACTCTGAAAAAGGGAGACTGCCCAAGGAAGCCAATTGGACCAAATAAGGGTGAGACTGTGTCTGCCTCAGAGGCAACAAGTTGGTAGGGGTGCATTCACAAATGCGCATGCGGGGGCTGCGCAGCTGATTTCAGAGCACGCTGACGTATTGGTGGGACTCAACAGGATGGTCGACCCCACCAGCAGAAGTCACCAGAGGGGCTGTTAGACTCTTGGGCTTGTTCTATACGGTCAAGGGTTACCAAGAGTCAAAGGAACAACCAGGAGGTGTCATCCCAATAAGATAAGGACTTCTGCAATATCTCATTTCCTGGAAACTCTAGTTACAGAAGCTTTGAAAAGAGAAGGACCTTCTGCAGGTGTTAATGGCCTCTGTAGTGTTAAGTCAGTCCTACTCCAAGAAAAAAAAATCTGCTCTTTGGGGTGTGGAACAAGGGAGGACTGTGCTTATTTCCATTGCCATCTGAGCAGAGAGGCACAGCCAGGCTAAATCCCACCAGCCCCTTTGAAGGTGTGATCACCCACATGAACTGATGCCAGCACTGCAGAAATGGAGACAACTCCATGCTCTCTAGGGTGCACTGTGGATTGAAGGCATGGCGAGGTGTGTGCAAGCACTACGTAGGCATTGGGTGGGAATCACTGGTGTGCCATCTGCCGTAGTCCTGCCTGTGCCCTCGATAACATGCCCCAGCTGGGCCAGAGAGCAGATGTTCGGGGTGTGCAAACCACAGCCTGACAGGCACTTGAGGGCAAGGTTCAGTTTGGTTTATTTATTTTTGAAGCAAGAAAATCTTTGGACTTCTAGCAATTTTTTAAACTCCAGAGATGAAGGGGGAAACAAAAGTCAGAACACTCTAAAATTTTCAAAATTTTAGGTGCAGTTAAAGGTCTCTTTTAGCCTAGGATATAACCACAACACAATGAGAGTCTTTTGTTTGACTCAGGCTGAAAGTTCTGGGGAAGAAAGGACTGGATTGAAAAGAGTCTAAGACTCAACCTTTTTTTCCAAAGTTAGTTTTGAGGAACCTTGAGAATGTCCAGGAAAGGCTCAAGGTATCTTCCAAAAGATGGGGGAACTCTCTGTCCTTCAGGGTGGGAGAAGACATAGATGTGTGCTGACTTGTTTGATGAGGTCTGTATCTGTCCCATCACCAATTCTCTTTCTCCCTTCTCGGCTGGCAGCTGTTGCTCTTCCAGGAAGCAGTGTCCCAGCCCTGCACAGCCCTTGGCTTTGTGGCCCATTGACTTTCTTCCTTTACGTGCTGCTGAGATGATGGCAAGTGAGCGCTCCTGTCTTCGGACCAAGACATTCCTGCTCCTTTCCTATTCAGCCACCTCTGCTCCTCTTCCTCCCCTCCTCACTGGCACACCAAAGTGTCCATATGTTACCAAAGACTGACAGGCATGACCATGCAAAGGGATCTGGTTCAGAACTGGAGCACTCCTTGAGAAAGTCATAATGTCTAGAACAAAATTTAAAAATAAAGACAAAACTTTTTTAAAAAGCACGTGCACGAGAGAGAGTGATAGAGGGAGAGGGGAAGGAAAGAAACACATATGGAGAAAGAAGGAATGAAACGCAAAAAATGGGAATGAAGAAATATGAAGAGCAAATGAAGGAAGAAAAAAACCACACCCATGTTTCCTTGGGAATGTCGGACAGGGCTTCCTCAGGGAAGTGCGAACTTGTTTTAAACAAACAAACAAAAATATATTAAAGCACAAATTTCTACCAGAACAGTTACCTTCTTTGCTGCAGAGCCCACAGCTTAGTGGATGATACCTGCAGTACTCCCCTTGTCTCCTCATGCTTTCCCGCTGGCTGGGGCTGCCCTGCTCCAGCTGCAGCTCCCTCCAGTAACACCGGCCTCGTCTGTGGGGCAGCAGCCGCCCCGCGCGCCGGCGGCCGGAGCGCCTTTCCTCGCACCGCATGTGCTCCAGTGTCTCCATCCATCCGCATCTTCCAGGCTCTCATGTACTTAACTGCCCCTGGTCTGGTTTGCTTTGGCCTTTCCCCACCACTCTGTGCTTCTCCTCATCCACCCAGCCTGAAGAAGATGGAGCAAGGAAGGGACCGATGACACGGACCACGCTGAGTGGTGAAGTCCTGTCTGGATCCAGCACGGGCCTCCAAGAGCCTCTTTCTGTCTCTCAGCGCTCTTGCTGGATAGGGATCAGGTCTGAGCTGCAGACAGAAAATCTGGTCTCTCTGGGGCTGAGGGATGGGATGTGATGGGATGGGACTGGAAGGGTGGAGCAGTTGCACACATTGGCTTCCCCCTGTGAATATTGGGATGGCAACTGCCTCAACCCTAAACACACAATTGCTTCTCTGCTTGTATTTTGTTACCTATTTATTTTGGGTTTTATTCCATTTCTTCCTCCACCTCAAGTTTTCTGGATTATGGGAAGAGTGAGGCATTTAAATGTTCTTCAGCCAGGCAGCAAGTCCTGTGCTCATGGCCCAACGCTGGGCTGGCAGTTCAGGCAGCTCCAATGCTGCCCTCTCACCTCCCAAGGCCCTTCACATGCACAGTGCATTCACTGCGGTGTGGGCAAAAGGTGGCAACAGCATCACTGCTCAGGGCTGAGGCTGCTGAGCATGTCAGCACATGCAGCCACACAGGCACTCAGCTTCCCCTGCCAGGGCAGCGGGCAGAGGGGCTGAAAGGCAGAACAGGCAGGAAACTACTCCAAGAAGGATGCAGGCAGGAAGCTGGCCCAAAAGAGGGGCTAGTGCTGAGCTGTGGCACTGTTTGCTGCTGAGGAACAAGGGAGCAGGGATGGGGGAAATTCACCTTTTTCTTGATGGTATCATGAGTGGGTAAAGCTGGTGTTCCTCTTTGCTGCAGACCTGTAGCAGGTCTGGCGCTGCTGAGGAACAAGGGAGCAGGGATGGGGGAAATTCACCTTTTTCTTGATAGTATCATGAGTGGGTAAAGCTAGTGTTTCTGTTTTGCTGCAGACCTGTAGCAGGTCTGGTCCAACCTCCTCAAGGTGGAGGCACCTGCTGCTCCAGATGAATCCCCAGGATAAGGATTTGCCCTGTACGAGCCAAACAGGAGCTGTGATAGTGTTGATGCATCTGGAAGCAGCTCTGGGCATGACTTAGCTCCCTAAGGAGCAGGGCAGAGTTAGCCCCACAAGGCTGTGAATTGGGGTTTAGTAGCCCACACTCGCAATTAATTAAGTGTGACTCTTCCTCCTAAGGAATACTCCATCCAAAATCCTTATCTGGAACACCACAGATAAGATAGCTGTTTCACTGAAGACCCAGTGTCCATGGCACCTTACCCATTTCTGATTAATGTATCAGCTTCTCTAAGACAGCCATGTTTGTCTGAAATCACCTGAATGTATTAACTGCCTCCTGCATTGCTCAGCTTCCAGCCATGGCCTCATTGCCTTCACTGATGGAGGGGGAATGCTCTTACTTAACTCCCAGGAGATCCAGCCACTATCAGAGAGAGAAAGGACATCAGCTCTGAGGGCCAAGGGGACCTTCTTCACAGGAGGCCTTGCAGGACAGTGGGACAGGACAGGTCTCCCCAGCTCATTCTGCTTTTCTCCATTTACAAGAATTACAACCGTGTCTTTTCTGTCTCCACTCCTCCCTCCAGAGCCCAGGCCTCAATCACAGTGTACATTTGACCAGGAAACACATGGCTGTTGTCCAGGGCCAGGCAGTGTCATGGGATGCAGTAGGTGCCAACAGCAATTCTGTGTCTTGCTGTCTGTTGCCATTTTCATGGGCAGCCAGTGCTACCCTTTTGTAGGCTGAGCTCTTTCAGCCCTGTGCTCTTCTTTTCCTCTGTGCTTGTTGGAGATCAGAAGTCATCACCCCACTCCTGGTAAGAGTCCACTTCCACTCCTAGGAGAGAGACTGTGCTTTCCAGGAGCACTTGGGAGCTTCACAATGGCTCCTGATCTGCCAGCAGCAACACAAAACGTTTGTGTTGCCTTGCTGGTTGCAGGAGGCTTCTGCTGGGCAGAAGGTGGAGACAGAATTATTCCCCATTGATAAGAGATTGACCAGGGCAATCATCACACCTTCGGAGACAGATGCCTTTGTGGGTTTGCTTCTACAGACTGCTCAACCCAGGTTGCACAAGCACCCAGGTTTTGCTGGTGTTTAGTGGACATCAGACATGCTGTGGGGCTGGGGAGGTGCAGCCTGAAGGTTCAGGATGATGGGCAAAGCATTACCTGTGAGGCAAGTGTCAGGAAAAGGGCACCACACTTTTAGAAAGGGATGCCTGCAGGGAGGAAGTCCATGCCCTGTTGCCAACCCCTGCAAGGAAGGATGTAAGGGCGCCTCATCACACCAATCCATGGCACGGGGTAAGAACCCTTTGGTGGCTGTAGGTGCAGGGCAGAGCAAGGAGGTTGTTGGAGGAAGTCCATGCCCTGTTGCCAACCCCTGCAAGGAAGGATGTAAGAGCCTCATCACACCAATCCATGGCACAGGGCAAGAAGCCCTTTGGTGGCTGCAGGTGCAGGGCAGAGCAAGGAGGTTGTCCCAGCCAGAGGTGAAGCCTTCTCCTGCTGTCAGGTGTCCTTCAGCTTCAGTAAAAGTCTCAGGAAGCCCCATTCCACTTAGACCTCTGCTCTTTTGTCTCTGGCTAGAGAGCAGCTGGTGGTGAGTTTGGGGAAAAGTCATTAGCCCAAGTGCCCCTGCTTCTCAGAAGTACTGAGGACAAAAGGAAAGAGTTTCCCTGGCAGATGTGCTGCAAGACAGTGTCAGGGGAAAGAGGCACTTCAGCAGCAAGGATGGGAAGCTGTGCACTGATGGGGTGGAGGGGAGGCAGGGTCCCTCTTCTTTGAGGGTATACCGTGGTACTTGTGGTTTACTAACCCATGCTTGAGAGGCAAGTCTCCTTGTGGAGGGGATGCATCCCAGGTGAGATGTAAAGCCATGCTCCTTACCCCTTCCAATTAAAGATCCCTTCACATTTTTCACACTGTTCTGGCTAAATTACAATCCTTAAACTTAATTACTGTCTGTCTTCTTAAATATCTGTTGCAGTCCCAATGTTATGTTTCTCTTCCTGATGTTTTATGTTGCTCTGTGCCTATCGAGTAGCTGCTTTATTCCACTCCAGAAGTGGCTGCATTTCAGCAATGGTGGATATTATTCCTGTATATAGTATGAAAGTCCCTGCAGAAGAAAAGTGCAATATAAATTTAAGAGACTGCTTTTATTTACAAGGAGACCTCTGCCTGGTAGTTGTAGAAATACATTAGGAAGAATGCTGTGTGGGTGTTAGCCGATATATACTCAATTTCATTTTTTTTTCAGGGTGTAGAACAGAAAATATGTGAGTGTGCAGGCTCCTGGGTATAAGTAGATAAGTAGATATTAGAAGTAGTGAATGCTACTGTGTAGTTACAAGAGGGGCTTACAAAGAAACTTCCATTTGAAACCTCTTTTTGTAGTTGTTCATCGTATTCTGAAAAATATACTTTTTAATTATAATTTTCTACCGTTCAGTGCAAGTCCAAATAGCAGGTCATCAACAGAACTTTAATCCATGGCTTTTAACAATATGAACATCAATTCCTGCTGCTTGCCCTGAAATGCAGTTCCTGGCTGGTAATAATAATAGACTATTTTTCTTCCACAAAGATCAGCCACTGGAAAGCAATGGACCTAATATGTTCCATTTGATCTGGAGTTAAGTAATTAGGAACACCTGAGTGCAACTCTTCCCAGCTGTGTGAGAGTGAAAAATTGTTTCATGTGTATGAAAAACTTAGCAGAGTGCACAAATGGTTTGGGAACTGCTCATGGGTCCCTTTCAACTCAGCATATTCTGGGATTCCATGATTGGCAGGCATGCAGAGCTGCTCCAGCAGAGCTGCACAGTGTGCTGCCTGGAGAACAGCTGGAGCAACAGTGATAGGGAGCCCTTCTTCTGGGAACTAGTTTTCTTCTGGAAAGAAATATGGTAGCAATCAGGGGAAAATTGCTAGGGGGGGGGCTTCAGGTATTTAGGCTGGTAATTTTTTTGCAAAAATAATTTAGAGATATGAGAATGAGTGTAGTAAATATGATACAAGTTGTATTTTATTCCCTATTGCTATCCAAAGTATTGAATTTTAATTTCTATCTCTACAAAATCCTCTGGGTGCACTACTCCAGAATTACAAAAAACTTACTTCCAAAGGGAAAGCAGAGTCTGGATTCCTCCTCCTCAGCCTGTCCTTATCACTCTGTGCCAAAAAGCTTTTTGTTTGGTGCCAGGTGGTTCTCAGCCTCGGAGGGACAGTCAGTGGTGCTGGTGGGAGAAGCATCCCTCCACCACTGCCCTGAGCCTTGTCTCCAGCATGGAGTGGTCCCCGTGCAAGGCGCTGTCAGGAGCAAGGCCTGCTCCCCATTAGCTCTCAGCGAGGCTGAGGCAGGGAATTTTACCTATGGGAATCGCGAGGGGGTCCTGATGCTGCCCCAGGCAGGGACAGACAAAGGAATCAGGACAATTTCCCTCCTCCATGGAGTAAATGGTCACCTCACCCCACTTGAAGAGACAAACCTTTTAGTTAAAGCAGAGAGCTCAGGAAGCTGCTGCTTCAGGATGTTG